CTATCAGAAACCGAGTTCCGTAACTCGCAGCTTTGTAACACATTGTCATGAAACATCACACAATCCATGGCCAAGTCACCAGTAGGGATGCTTCCTTTGCTCCGCTGCCTCAAACGCCACTATGGTGAGACAGTCGATGCATTCAATGTGCTCCCCATTCCCCCTGGGTGTCACGATGGTTGGATAACAAAACACACACTTAAAATCTTATTCTACTCCCAGGAAGTGATCCCTGAGCTATTTGGGCAAGAAATCCTTCAACCGGAGAATAGCCCAGGTTCGATACTTACATTTTCGACTTTAACATTATTAAGGGAGCTGAGTGCGTAATTGAGAGGTGAAATATCAATGCTTAGCTGGACCTACTGCCCCTGTGCTGGGTGTTCAGGTGCACAGTCTCAAAGCCTTGGTCCAGAACCCACCCAAGCCTGTCTCCCCGTCTGGGCCACAGTTCCTCAAGGCCCTGCCAACACCACACCGTGGCAGCCCTCATGAGGGGTGTGGGCATTCCTAGGGAGCTCTGGTGGGGCTGTGGTTAAAGCACTGGGCTGCTAACCAAGAGGTCTGCGGTTTGCACCCACAGCTGCTCCACAGGAGAAAGTTGAGGCAGTCTGTTTCCATAAAGATTTACAGCCTTAGAAACCTTATGGGGCAGTTCTACTCTGTCCTATAGGGTTGCTGTGAGTAGTGGGTTTACTTTGGCTTTTTGGAAATGTTCCTAAGGCTGCCCACCCCCATCCACAACTGTTGTAAATAGAGCAAAGGGGGGAATGAAGGAAAGAGTCTAAAAGGGGCAACAGACCTGCATGGTGGTCTCTGGGGAACATGGAACTAGCTCTGACAAAGAGGCCTGGGCTGGAGGCCCCAAGGCTTTGGAAAGGATCCCTGTCTGTGTGGGGCAGAAGACAGAAATGTTGTGGATCTAACCAGAACCAGGCTTGGGAATACAGCGAGGCCGATCGTCTGTGAGACTTCTGGCCAAGTGTTGAAGGAAAAGCACATGGAAGTCCCCGGGCGCAGACAAAGCTTCAGTTCCGCTCAGCTTGAGTGTCAAAGAAAAAAGGTTGCTCTGTGGTTCATTCCCCTCACATCATCCAGCACACAGCTCTGCCCCACCAGGTCACGGCAGGAAGGCA